CAACTCTAAGAGGTCGCTATTTTTTTTACAAAAAACCATTTTATATTCACAAAGTTAGAGTCTTTGAGTCTTTTTACGACAAAAGTGATTGACTGATGTATCAACGCACAGGCTAAGCCGTGAGCTTCGTATGAATTGAGTACGGTAAAAATAATGAGTTATGAATTTCAGCGTTTTCCAAAATTTAACCCCTAAGAGGGTAAAATAAGGGATGAAAGTTTTTAAGAAACCTACCTTTTTACACCTTTTTTTGTACTTTTAGCGCGAGCGAAACCGCATGGTCTGCTAGTTTAAAATAAAAACAACAATCAAATAATCAATGTGGCATATTATCATGTCTAATAAACGAATTTAGGCTAATAAGTAGATTGTTGAAACTTTTAAATTATACTCATTTTATTGGGTACGGTATATTTAATATATTTCATTAGATAACCCATCAGCAATATATTTCTTAATATTTGAAACTTAATAAAATATAAAACACTTCATACGGTAAGTACAGAACAAAACGTGACAAATGCGTTACTCCTACCAGAGCCATTGATATTTTTTAACCGACTTCCAAAAACGTAGAGGTTCTCAATTCGTCGGAATCTTTTTTTTATGTATGTTCACCGATTACTCGAAGACGCCTGAACCGATTTGGAAAAAAATTGTTTTGTTTCAAAGGGTATAGCATATAGTATAGCCCAAAATATTCTAAGATATATCAAAATGTATTAGATTTGCTTTGCATCGGCTGGCACCGACTTCGAAAATATCTGATTAGGTATCTATTCTAAATGAAAACCTCCGTTTAGTTATTTTTTACATTGTAGTGCCTGGAAGTCGGTTTTTATTTTTTGTTATTTTACTATTCTTTTTCATTATTTGTTCAATTTTTTTTTGTTATAAAACAAAATGTTATTCAGATATTAATTAAGATTAATAAGATAAAACTTTTCAAAAGCATTTGACTAATTTCAATTTAACAAATAATTATTTTACTGTAAGATGAATTAGAGAAGGAATATTGTCAAAGACTGTATTTGTGGACCATTTTTTTTAATAAGGCAATACGTGATGGCAAAAAAATAAAAAGCTCATGGAATCTATAAAATATCTTCTTTCAAAACTCCTAGCAAAATATATAGGGAAAACTATCAAATTACTGGATTATTCGGAAGTTTCATTTTAAATAGAGCGGAAATTGTTAAACTTTGGATGGAACTTGATACAGAAGTGTGCGTTGTTGTTTACTATTTTTTTTCCAGTATTACGTTGCCATGTTAATAGCACCAATTTTAATTTTATTTGAACACTAGCGACTTACCCTAGGTACGTTGTTTTAACACCTCCCCAACGTGCGTTCACCTTGTCGTGGTGGGGGGGCTCAGTAGTGCCCGGCAATCCAACCCCGGAGGGCAGTATACCATGCGGGTTGCTCCTGGTACTTCTCTGATAGCAGAGTGGACCAAATTTCACCAAAATCTGTCTAGTGGTTTCTCGTGATGCGTTTCCAGACAGACAGATTCAATAAGATTTTCAAAAAAAAATTAATGTACAGACAGATTCGATTCAGTTACAATTTTATTATATGTATAGATAGATAGATAATTTAAGCATAACTTTTTATAATATATGATGCTGCTTTAGAACGATGAAAAAAAAACTTCACGTGTGGGAACCGCAGGTAGAAACCCATTCGCAATAAATTTTAGTCTCAAGTTACTTAATCTCTTTTCAACTGCACCGCTGTCTAAATTACATATTTGAAACGAGATTCGAGGATCAAATAGACTGGCACGAAGCTTGTCACAGTGGGCTTATATAACAGATTACTATCCGTAGTTCTCTCTCTAGATTTCTCATCAAGATATGTTAACATTGTAATAATAGAAATTAAATTACATATATTTCGAATTACTTGTTGTATATTTTTATCTTTAAATTTTGACATAGCAATAACATTGTTTGTAAGTTTGTAGTGGCAGTGCTGACACACACAATTTGACTATATACATAACAATTGTAGCCGTCCGATATAATTGCATATAATATCAAATACCTATGTGTATTAATAGATATTTTGTTCTATTTTTGTATATTTGTATGTACATTGTACACCGATTTCGACTCCGGGCCGAGTCTTGTATTTTTTTTGGCTGAAATTTTATACTACGAGTAGCGTCTTATTGTAAAATATTAATATATAGGTACCAATATAAATTTGGTGTACTGATAATATTATTTTTTGTTATTTACAAATAAAAGTAAGTACACCGTGTTCTTCTACTTGTACATATAAAAAAAAACTGTACTAGTAATAAATAATGCCGAGTATTATATTTTATTATCTTCAGCCCTTTTTAACGTCGCACTGCTGAGCACGGGCCTCCCTTCAGTACGAGGGGAATCAGGCCATAGTCCACCACGCTGGCCAAGTGCGATTGTGAAAATGAGATTGGCTGACTTCACATGTCTTATGAAAACTTGCTAGGTTCTCTCAGACATGCAGGTTTCCTCACGATGTTTTCCTTCGCCGTTTAAACAAGTGGTAATCATGTTGGAAATGATTCGCACATGAAAATATTAGAGGTGCGAGTGCGAATATTCGCCTTTCACACGAAACCCTTTTTGTATCGAGATAATAAGTACCCAGCATATGCTACTATCCATCTCATAATTCTCTCATCTTGAACTGATGCTAGCAAAAAGAAGGACAAGCCAGCAACTTTAGCTATAGTACTTGATATGATAAGTTAAATTGCATTTCCATATATTCATTTAGTTATGAATTAATAACCAAATTTTAATACAGATAGTGTTGCTGAAAATCACAGCATCCCTTTACGCCTACATTAGTTAGCACATCTACGTAACTTGATTACTGCTAATTCAGTTTCAGCGCACTGAATTGAATGTTTGAACTTAACTGAACGTACTAGTTTCTCTCAGATATTTATTGAATCTGTAGAATAGAATATTACTTTGAATTAAAAATCTTTATTCAGACCTCTCTCTATGGGATCATCCTTTAACATTAAGTTCACTTAGATGCTCCATTAATTCACAGTTCGGGATTTATGTTGGTACCTTATCATTTAATCATTTGTTATTGTTTATGGGAGATGAATTATATATCGATATTAGATATTAGATCAGTTATTTTCTTAATAATTTCAAATAAAACGGAAATATTTTATATCTTGAATATCAATTTCCGTCTTAATTCAAGTTTTGAAAACATCTATACATATAATAAAATTTTAACTGAGCTGAATCTGTATATTACATATTTTTTTGGAAAATCTTATTAAAATAAACATTATTATCGATACAGAGGCCGAATCTATAGTTTTTAGAATTTTTGTCTGTCTGTTACCGCATCACAGAAAAACCACTATAGGGATTTTGATGAAATATGGTATGGTGATAGATGGTTATCCGGGTTAACATATAGGATACTTTTTACCGCGGGAAAATATCTCATTTCTGAGAAAAAATACAAAAACTGCAATGTAAGAGCAAACTAATATGTGTTTTACATAAGAATTTGTTTTTTGGTCATCTGAGCGCGGGCGGAGCCGCGGGCAATGCTAGTATTTAATACGAATGTTTATTTCTTTAAATAAGCCCTTTGACATTCTAAAGATCAAATAGTGGATAAAATGTTTCCACAGCTCATATATGACGTCAAAAACAGAAACATTCGACGTTCAAAGGAATCCAATTTGGATTTACAGTGTCCACGTATTGAGTTGAATATAACGAACCAACTAACGCAGTATAAGACAAACACAGCCAAAAATATCAGTATTTACACAATGACAAATGAACTTATGTGTCAAACAATAGTAGTCAGTAATTTGATCCAATATTATATTTGAAAATTTAGTGCATGCTTTTCTCTGTTGTATCCTTATATTCACCTATTTCAAAATAAATCCCGAATAACTATTTTTCAAGTGTACATCTTTTAGAGTGTCACACTATTATCATCTTTAAAGTCGCCGAAACAATTGTTATTATAAGGTTAAAATTACAAAAGATATTTGTCTTTTGAGATGAAGGTATAAACTGAAAATCGTTTATTTGACTGCAATGAGACTTAGACAATCTTGATATGTGCTAAAATTCATAAAAAATAAATAAAATTGAAATTAGTTTTCGTATGCATGCTTAATTTTTCTGTTAAAGTACCATCAACGTACGATATGGGAATAGTTTGAGATTTTTTAGCCTGAATATAGCAAGTATAAGCACTAAGTAATTTATGTAAACGTATATATTACTAGAATTGCCCGCGGCTCCGCCCGCGTTCAGATGACCAAACACCAAATTCTTAGGTTTTATATATTAGTATATATACTCTTACATTGCAGTTTTTGTATTTTTTCTCAAAAATGAGATATTTTCCACCCGGATAACCAGCTATCATCATACCAAGTTTCATCAAAAATCCCTCCAGTGGTTTTTTCGTGATGCGGTAACAGATAGACAGACAGACAGACAGACAAAAATTCTAAAAACTATAGATTCGGCCTCTGTATCGATAATAATGTCTATTTTAATAAGATTTTCCAAAAAATATCTAATGTACAGATTTGGCTTAGTTACAATTTTATTATATGTATAGATATACATATACCTATACTACCTACGTAATTAACCATTTGTAAAAACGCTTATCTACATATGTATTTCATGCTGATATCAGGTATTTAATGAATACATTGCTTTATATAATATATGTTTGTAGGAAATTTGTTACTCAATAAGTAAATGTAACCATATTCGTGAAATACTGGGTCAACAGGATTAACGTGCACACTCTTTCATTTTCCATTTCAAATAATATTGGCATATTGAGTCTGTGACAATGTTTATTTAAGTTCGTAATAAATTATTATTTCGAAGACCATTCTCTTTTTCAATTAAGAGATTTTGTAATTATTACTACTGCGTTTATATTATTATCATTACTGTGTTTATGACAAAAGTATTTTATATCTTACCTGTTTTAACTAGCTTGAAAGTAACTTGTTGTTGATTTTTCAGTTGTTCGTTATGAGCTGGATGTGTCAGCTCGCGCAGAGCCATTTCAATGGAAGGCTGCTGCATGGTTGCAGGTGGTGATGGCGATACCTCCTTCGATCGACTGAATTTTCTTCGAAAGAAACTAACTTTCTTCGGCTTCGAGTTTGTTCCTGCTTAAGAATATTAGAAAGTAAATTTTATGAAAAATAGTAAAACAAATAAAACTGTTGATATTAAATAAAAACCCAAAAATGAAACTCAATAAAGCATATTGTTATAAATTGCAATCACCATGCAATGGGTGTGATTGTTACACGTTATCAATTAGTCGATGAACAGGCCTTCAAATCCAATCCAAACCAAATTTCTTATCAAAGACCTTCGAAAGATGACCGTTGCGTTGGTGGCGTAGATATCGAAGAGGTACGGGCGGAGGGTGTAGGAGAGGAACTTGGTGCAGGTTCCGATTGTGGCCGGGGAGGTAGCAGGCTAAGCGAGGAGGCGGTAGGGGACGGGAAATGCGCCGCCGATACATCGGAGCGACGATCTGACTCTGGAGTCGTTACACGAATGTTCGCACAGAATTCGGGAGTACTTGCGACCTCAAACAGCGCATCGAAATCTCTGTCAAATATATTCTTCCGCGAGAAAGCGGGCGTTGGTAATGGGGCAGGAAATTCGAACTCATCTGGTGCTGGCGTTCTTACTATCTTTCCGAATTCATTGTTCTCGTGTCGACCAAGCTTTTTTAATAGTTTAGCCTTAGTGCGCTCGCGCAGCTTAGCCGGCCGCTCGAGCGACGGCGTCGGCGAGGCCGGCGCGCGCTCCGCAGGCTCCGGGGGCGCCGTTTTGGCTGGAGTGGCTCGGGGTGGGGCGGGGGGCGGGGCGGGCGGCGGCGGCTCGAATAGAATGTCGAGTGTCGGTCGCTGCCGAGGCCGTGGCAGCGAATGATAGCTGTATGTCAGGGAAACTACTTCGTCCGCAGGATATATTACGTACATCCCTGGCGAGACCGCATTGCGCCGGCCCCTCGCGCCCTCCGAAGAGGATCACGCGCGTCTGACTTACGATCTACTTAATAGTGGTTATATCGTAAATTCCTCCGTGAAATAATATTATGAGTGTATAGCTTTCAAGATGCTGAATATTGTGGAATGTATCTTTCTTATAGTTTTGACTTTTTGTAGCGTGGAAGGAGTTGGGAATGTTTTATGGGAGAGATTTTGAGCCATATATGTACATATGTATTATAGGAGGTAGGGATAATAATCTTCACATAAATTTTTCGCTAATTCGTTTGACGTCTCTTCAACCTATAATAAGAAAAAATAACATAAAAGAACAAAACAAAACTAAAATTATAAAATATATACTATATTTATGAATTACAGATAAGATAAAGCTTTTAAACAGATTTTTATATAAATATTTTAATATCTATTTATACTTGAAATATTATTGCATTTTGCTGGTAAAAAATAAATATTCATTAAAAACTGCATGAATAAGTTTTTTTTTTCAAAAGTTTTTTTTTATTTGAGGTACTCGTATAATATTGAAACTCTCAACTAATAACTGACGGAAGTGTAAAATATTATCGAGCTTTCCTGAGGTGAATAACTTAGGTTAGTTAAAAAATAAGAGGGACGCTTAGAAAATTTATGAATACCATATTATAGCTTTCCGGTATATTGTGGTTTGCTGAAGCGATTACAAGTCGGGGGAGATAAGCGGGTCAAGCGTCGATCGCCACAATGCCGGGGGCATATCCTCGAGTTGGAGAACACTTAAAATTTTCTGACGTCGAAATTCTATACATCCGTTCATTTACATACACTTTCGTGTATATCTCTTCAACAATATAACAAGTATTATATTATTAACACTTTTCCACGAATCGTGTATTTTATTTTAAATGATATAGGTTTAATTTATATAGTTTTTTTTGTGGTAAAGTTATTACATTTATCTTCTTTTTGCAATTAGATTTAAGAAACACTAGCTTAGCATACATTTCTTTTTATCTAAATGGCTTGTTCTGCTTATGACCTACTTCAAAACAGAAAAGATACGCAAGTTGTTTGTGTTTTTTATGGGCATGTTACTTGATATCTTCCCCAACTGTGTGTCGATTTTCATATTTTTTTTAAATTTATATACTTCCAGGGTGGTGCTTTAATTATAAAATATATCTAACTTGAATTAATTTACCTTTTTTGTTGAAAAGTATTAATTACACGGATTTTATATTTTTAAAATATCTTTGTAAAAGAATCAAGTTATGTTGTTCCGTTCTTCCGTTCTTCATAAATAACAACAGTCACAATAAACATTTATATTTTACATTTATGATATTTATATTGGTGATAAAGTTTATAAAAGGAATATCAGTATTTTTTTAATTTAGTAAGTTGTAGCCATGCTCTTCATTAATAAAATTTTACTAATGAATAAATTGTTTTATGCAAGCTTTTGCGTTGTATTTATTTTTTAATAGCGATCAATCTCTTGCAGGCTAGCCTGAGAATTATCTATACTAATATTATAAAGAGGAAAAGTTTGTGAGTTTGTGAGATTGTGACGTTGTACGGGGTATTCTCTGATCTGATCTACTGCATCGATTTAGATGAAATTTGGTAAGAAGATAGTTTGAGACCTTGGGAAGGACATAGGATTCTTTTTATTTGAAAGTTTGTATTGGGAATCAAGCATAATGGTAAAAAGAAGCGTAATGGTATTAAATAAAAATATACGTATTTTAAATCGGTCATTGTATTTGATGGGAAGATCTGACTCAAAATATAGATATGCTAAGAAACTCAACAGTTAACTATTAAACATGTAGTATTATTTACACTACTGTTTTAATGTTACTGACCTTCGTAATAGATTTTGCAAAAATATTTTTAATTTTAGATTTAAACTGTTTTAGCGACCTATTCACTTTTAAGGCGAGACTTTGACGTCATTATCTTTTTTTTAATGGACTCTAAGATATCCAAGCTCCAGTGTTACAAATTTCAAATAGCTTATTTTTAAAAGATAAATTTAGGTTTAATCTCATCAGCATTGCTCTATAATAATATTCCGTAGGATAATGCTCTACAAAAAGCTAACATAAATTAATTTCAAGCCTCAGTTTGTCTAATACTGTACACGAGCTTTTAATTTTAACCGCTTACACATCGCCATCCAAAGTTAAAGGGCGTAGATAAGTGACATTCTACAAATAAGTTGGCGATAAGTCGACAATCGTTTTCGTTAATAATCACTTAAAAATGACCATGATATATTTAACAGTGAAGTCAAATGGCTATAAGTCTGAGAAGTGATTCTCATATATTTTTAGTTTTCTACTAAAGATATCGAGAAGTAAACAGACAGTTTGTTAAGGGAATAGGTGGCTAGAAGCGTACAGCAAGTTTTATTACAAGAAGCTCTTATTAATGACTTTAAAGCGTTGAGTACTACTACGCCAATGGCATGTACAGTCTCAAATTGCGAAAATAGCGCATTTGGTTTAACGAAGGTGTTTGACTTCCTTTTGAGAAATGTGATTAAACTCTGTATTTATTTATTTCCCCATTGTTTTCTCTACTATGTATTCAATACATTCTTATAGCTATAAATGTAGTTATAGAGACGTGATCAAAAATTGTACTAAATTGATAGGTACCGTAAAACGGGGTGAATAGCAATGATTTTCAACTTCGTCTTAAGAATTTGTTGTCTGTTACTTTTTTTTTTTAATCTCAGGTTATTTTATATCATGCCCGGTTCCATAAAGAAAGTGCTGAAACAATATTTTTTTAACTATAAGCAAAGGTTTTCCAGATTTTTAATAAAATATGTACCGTTTCTATTCACCCGACGATTGGGGTCAATAGAAATGCGTAAAGGGGTGAATGGAAAAACTGGTAGGGCTACCAAAAATGACTTATCCAACATTGCAAAAATATAAGGTTGTATATTTAAAAATTGTTTTGGTTTGTAAATCTTAATTGAAAATCAAAATTTGTAATTTAAGCTATTTATGCGTATGAACATAAATAATAAAGTATGTTTGTATTTTAACCGATTTAATTTTTATGGAATGTTATCTCTTTTCGATAAATCAAACAAGATACTACTTATTCGTATTTTTATTTAAATTAAATAAAATCTTCTACAGCACTTTCATGGTTTTCATCTAAGTCTTCACCGGGAAGTCTGGCTAATATTTCATGTTCATTTAAAGGGCTAATTCCTGTTTTCTTAAATCCAGCAATGATATTCTTTGAAGCATTGATTTGAAGTTCATCAATTAACAATTTTAATAGTTTTGGAAAACAACCTTTTGGAATTGTGTGTTTATTGAGTTGGCTGGTAAAAACACAAAATCGATGTTATGCGTTTTACATATTTGGATCAAGTCTGCTGATAAATGTGAAGACAAATTGTCTCCAATTAAGCACTTTCTGCCTGGTAAATCCTTAAAATATGGAACGACCATATTTTGCACCCAATCCTCAAAAGTGGTTCCTTCAAACCATCCAGATGTCGACCTGTTATTTCGAGTACCTTCTGGGCCATGTTGAATCCAAGAATCATATAAATGAGTTGCTTTATATACCACATATGGTGGTAACATTTTGCCATCTGCGGTACCAGCCATCATAATAGACACGGAAGCCTTGGTATGGTTCAGAACCCTTTCAGGGTACTTGCATCCCCGCTTGATTAATATTTTCTTCCGCCCGGGGTCGTCCGTTAAATTCGTTTCATCGTAGTTTAATATGTTAGAAGCAGGTACTCCATTTAAAGACTTCGCAAGTTCGATAAAATATTCTTTAATCGTATCTGGAGACACCTTAGCTCTCACACGCTTGATATTTTCACAAACTCTTTGCGAAATCTCATTTTTGTGTCTTAATAAAAAGCTCTGCACAAAATCAGGTCCTGGAATGTCCTTGAATCTCTTATGGATTATGCCTATCTTATCAAGATACATCTTGACTATGTACCTAAGATCCAATGTATCTAAGGGATAACCCCATTCTGCGCATTTATTGATGTTCTCTATTAACAACATTTCTGTTTCGTCGGATAAAGCTCTTTGGCCTCCATGTTGCTTCATATCCCGGGTACTGTGGCGATACAACACCGATTTGTGAATGCCATATTTTTTTGCAACATCTTCTAGTTTTAAATTCCGAGAAGATGCATACTCTTCCACAGCTTTTTTTATGATTTCTATGCTATATTTTTTATACCTTTTCCTTGTAGGATCGGGTTTATATACACGCGGCATATTCAATCTACCTACGGCGGTATGTACCTGTAAATGAAAATTATCACTTCATAAATATTATTTATTTATCAATCACAAAATCTACCGCTCTCATCTAAATAATACGGACTTACTATTCATTAATACAGAAAGTATGAAAGTAGGTAGTTAAATTTAGTTCTGTTAACAGTTTTTGACAACCCTATTTATTTATCTCTATTAACCCCTGATTAATTGCTATTCACACATTAATCGTTTCTATTATTCCATACTAGACTTCCATTAAACCCATACTAAAGTTCTATTCACCCTTCAATGGATTCTATTAACCCCTTTTAGACAATAAATGTACACTAACTGTGATTTTAATATTTTTTTTAAGTTTAATAACGTATTCTAACTTACCTTTACTGTATTTTTATAATGTATCGCACACCTAATGAGATAAACACGTTAATTAGTACAAGTCACAAGTTTTTCTTACATAAAACCAAGAGTTTCGGCACTTGATTATACCACGTTCACAGACGGTACACTTTGAATATATTTTGAAGGATAAATGTCAATTTTGACATTTAAAAATTGTTGCCAACGCAAAGAAAAAATGTTGATATGTTAAAATATAAAATTCTACCAAAATTCTTCAACGAAAAGTAATTAAATATTAGCCTTGAAAACTTTCCTGGTATTTTTTCTATTCACCCCGCAATTTCTATACACCCCGTTTTACGGTAACTAGATAGTAAATATCATTAAAAAAAAGAAGATTAAAAAAATGCCAGTTAAAACTAAACTTAGACAAAGTTAGAGTAAGTTTGTCTAATTTCCGTATTATTTAAGGGCGTCCCAGCAGTGGTACGCTAAAACTGCTGAATAAAATAGAAATCACAAAGCGGTATGACTGTGATTTCGAACCTGGACACAAATCGATTTTAATAAGATTAATAGAATAAATCACAGACTACCGAGGGCAACATGTAACACAAGACCTGATACTAGTTATTTCAAAATTAAGTCAGGATTAACTGTGCGAGTGCGAGCGGTCGCGTGGCCACTGAGGCCTGAAAATAGGGTTTCAGAAGGTTATGTTTATTTATACAGTATTAATATTTAAACAAATTTAATGCTGATAATATATAAATTTAAATGAAAGAGTTCATTTGTTAAAATGGCCGCAATGTAAAATAATTATTACAAAATATGTATACTAATACTGTTTCGTGTCGTTCCTATTTCTATATAAAAATTAGCTTATTAACCCTCGGCGCACGCAATTAAAAACTTTGAATTTACTACAAAGGACTTGCATTTAAATGAATTGTTCCGTCATATAAACGTATTTTGCTATTTATTGTTACTTACAGTTGGCTAGTAACTTTAGAAATGTAATGTAGATATATGTAGAGTAGAGGTAAGGAGAACTATCTCTGTGATTAAAAATTGTTTGTCGAAAAGCATTAAATTAGGGTGGCGCTACTGTAGCAGGTAAGTAAATTAAAAAAAGTGCCAAAGTTATTACAGTAGGATTACATTATCTTACAGCTGTTTATTAGGTTATATTTAGTAACTTATTTTAGATCAAAGTAACTAGATGAGGTTTTGCATACTGCAGTTTCATTAACTTCTCTGGGCGTTTTCCAATTACAGCACTAAAGCGCATTATGTGGCATAATGATCAACTTCGATTTTTTCAACTGCAGCAATGCTCCGCACAATCGAGCACTTTGAAAAGTACTGTTTTGAAGTCACCAACCAACTCAGTAGCAGAAAATATAAGAAGTGTTTTTTCACTTTGTTCGTGTTTATGAGCCAAAGTGCAACATAATGGTTTGTAATTGGAAAACAGGCTCTAGTTACCTAAAAATATAGCATTTTTCAACTCAACCCACTTCACGCCGTCTACAACTGCTAAATTCATATCATATTCCATACTTACGCTAGCGCCATTCTGGTCCCCCCCAACGTGCGTTCACCTTTTCGTGGTGGGGGGGCTCAGTAGTGCCCGGCAACCCAACCGGGCGCGAAGCCAAGAAACGCACAGGGAGGTGGCCCACTTCAGTGGTCGGTGGGAGGTGGCCCTCTTCGGAGGGCGGTGTACCATGCGGGTTGCTCCTGGTACTTTTCTGATAGCAGAGTGGACTGTGGAGCAACCCCGTGGTTGTTGTGGTCTGCTTCGGCAGACCTGCCGTCGGGGCGTCGTAGTTGAATGCGTAAGCGATCCTGCGACGCCCCATTAAGACGGAGGAAGGTTTTGTTGGGTTTTAGTGGGTAGTACTGGCTTTGCCGGTGAGTCCCACACCTCGTGCGTAAATGCATTTCCCAACGTTAAAAAAAAAAAGCGCCATTCTGGTGGCTTTTGAACTGTTAGTTACCGCTTAGTGGTAGATACTATGTCATCTTATCTCACATATAAGATGGTTCTCCTTACCTCTTCCCTCCATACAAAGTTAACCTATACTTTGCTGTTCGGCTAAATAAAAAGGAATAAACTTTTACTTTCCTATTTTCTTGGTCCTAGATCATATTAAAAAAGCGCTATTTATGTATATATTTGAATGGTAGTAAAACTTGTATATGACCTAGGTGGGTTGCGATTCCCTCTATGTAAGCTGGTTGTGTAGAAAAAGTAGTATTTATTTAGAAATAACGCCTGATAAATACTCGTAGCAACCACTATATCTCTAGTTCGTTTCAGTTCAGTTCAGTTTCTTATTGAATAGACTTCTTGCATAGTCTTATAATTGTTATGTTTAGTTTATCTATTTATGCTATCTATATGTTTTCTGTACTTAATAATCTATGTTTCATTATTGGTGAAAGTAAAAATATTATGCCATCGGTCCATACAAAGGCTGGCATTTTCCTTTGCCCCTCTATTATAAAATATTCAAATTAGCGACTTGCTATATAAATAGAATATTCTTTAATAAACTTTTTCCTTTAATTTTTTTTCTGTTTTCTTCTTTGTTGGTTTATTCTTAACACAGTTACAGATATGTTTTGACGGTATTTTTGTGTAAACTGTTTACGAACCAAAAAGTTACATATGTTACTTTTAATCGCGGAAAATGAAGTTTTTCCCGTGAGATATTAGTATACTGTAAATAATTCCTTAAGGACGCGCGGGGTTTAGATAGGCATGAGTGATGTGAGGGTCGGGCACTAATTGGACTAGTAATATAAATGTGAAATTTTATGTGTGTGTATGTTTGTTACTCCATCACGCTGAAATGTCTGAACGGATTTGGACGACATTTTATATGCAGACAATGACCTGGAATAATATAGGCTACTTTTAGGCACCTAGGAATGCTCCCGAGCAAAGCTAGTCGTTAGACTAATGTAAAATTAAAAAGCTTAATAATTTATAAAAAGAAATATGAATGAATGAATAAAATAATTTTTAAATTATTAATCTTGTATTCATAATGAAATGAATTTCCATTTAATATTTATTGGTTAACCATAATATTACAAGACAATCAACATTTTAAGTTTGTGTGAAACCCGCATTAATATTATAAATGTGAATGTTTCTGAGTATGGATGTTTGTTACTCTTTTACGCTAGAATGGCTTATTGTGGAAAAATGTACGGTTCCCGTGGGATCGGTTTGTTTTTGTTTTCCTAGAGGCGAAACCAAACGAAGCGAGGGTGAGCCGCTGGTTTGAAATATTCATAAAATTGGGTAAAGTACTTTGTAAAATACATCAGAATTATTATAATTATATGCAAATTAATAAAGGAATTCAAATCAGAAAAAAAATTAAACTAAAAAAAGTAAAACACTTTGTCAGTGAAACCAGCCCACTAAAATGTATTTTAATTAATTAGAATACTTAATGTTGCTTAATACTTGATCGGGGATTGATTTGCTATTAAAAAATGTCTATACTACGAGTTTATATTTTTTGGATGTCCATGATGCCAAGTTTCATTAAAAAGAGTTTAACAGTTTATCTGTGTATATTTATTATCTATCAAGCAGAAAAAAGGTATGTATAATTTTAAGCACGGACATGGTAGGTAAGAAGATTTTGCTTTTTAAGTTTATCCATATAGGTGACTTTTCTAAAAAAAAGGCAATTTTTCACAAAAAAAAACCAAAAACCTCTTAACGAAGCTCGGTCGCCCAGGTACTGCACTCTTTAATGATTTAAATAAAACTAGCGACTCACCCTCGCTTCGCTCGGGTTCGCTCCTAACTTGCGTCCCTCAAGGAATGATTTCTGGGATAAAAAGTATCCTATGTCCCCAGGGGCTCGAACTATCTTTATCTTTGGTAAGCCAAATTTCATCTAAATCAGTTTAGTAGATCCAGAGATTACCCCCTACAACGTCACAAACTCACAATCTCACAAACTTTACCTCTTTATATATTATTAGTATAGATGTAATTGCCGTGATAAACATAGTGAAGATGTTCTCTTTACTTTAATTCTCAAAGGAGAAAAAGTATAATATTTGCTATAAACTAGGAAAAAAAATATATAACATGTAATTCAGCACAAAAATTAAACTTTGTTAATTGCAGTGAGTACAGTCAAGATGTTAAAAATGTTTTCACACAAAATTGAAATTTATTAGACTAATTAGTCTATAAAATTTCAATTTTGTGTTATTCCACAATATATAGTCTATTAAATTTCAGTTTTATATAGTAGTATAGTAATTACTATGGAATAACACAAATACTGAATACTATTTTTACGTTAAAACGTCTTAATTCTGTTATTTCATCAAGTAAAATGAGTCAATAACAAGCTGAAATCAAATTATGCAATTATGAAAATGAGATCGTAAACGAACGCGGTACACAGAGTACTGACTTCAGATCAAAAACGTTAAAACTATATTATTTATTTGAACCTGCTTTATAGTTATAAAAAGCATTATAGGCATATTTCGAAAGTTCCGAGGTCGTTTGCCCGCTGACACAGCTCACACGTCTGCACTTCGTGTGATTTAGTTGTAATTAATATACATATATATGTTAGTTTTAAGGTATATATTATGCTATG